ATTTCTTTGCTTATTCTCTGTGAGTTCTTTTGAGTCATTTGTTACTTAGAAATATCTTTTTTAATTTTCATGTACATAAAGTATTTCATATTTCATAATGTTTCTGTTATTGATTTATAATTACATCACATCATGAATAAAGGACATACTTTTATAAATCAAATCACTTTAAATTTATTATGACTTGTTTTTGTGACCTTTGTAGGGTCTATCTTGTAGAATGTTTCATGTGCCTGAAAAGTATGTTCATTATGCTCTTGTTCGGTAGAATGTTGCATAGTTGTCTGTTAGATCTGTTTTGTTTATAATGCTGTTCATATTTTTTTAATTTCCTTGCTGATGCTCTAATTGTTCTGTCTATTGTTGAAAGTGGGTTATTAAAATCAAACCATTAGTATTGAATTACCTATGATATGATCGGTTCTCTTATTTTTTGTTTCATTTGGGGGAACCATTTCTAAGTTCACACATATTTATAGTTGTCATGTTTTCTAGATGGATTGATCAAATTTATCCTTATAAGTTCTTTCTTTGTTTATAGTAACAGTTATTATCTTTTTTTCTAATATTATCTGATATCAACATATTTATTAGCACTCTCATTCGGTTGGAGTTTGAGTGGATTAATTATTTTTAATTTTTTATTCTTTCAACCAGAAAGAAGGTTTTAAAAATGTTTTGTTAGTGTATTATAGTTATACATAAGAGTGGGTTTCATTTTCTCACAATGATAATGCATAGAATATAATTTGCTCCATTTCTACATAGCACATCCTCTTTTCACTCCCCCTGTTCTCCTTCCTCTGTTCTACTGGTCTTCCTTCTATTCATATGTATTTTTTAATTGTTGCTTTATAGATATACAAACTGGTATGATTCACTGTGGTACACTCACATAGTACATAGAATAATTTTGTCAATTTCATTGTACTAGTTCTCCTTTTTCCTTTCCTTTCTCCCTCCTCCTCAATCCTCTTCCTCTCTTTCATTGATCTCCCATCAATTTTCCACTCCCTCCTCTCCTATTTTCCATTATTTTGCTCTAGCTTCCATGATTTTTAGTCTAAATTATCTTTTATAAACAGTGTATGGGTAAATTTTTATACTGTCTATAATTTACTTCCATTTAAAATTAATAGGCTACTTCTTAGAAGTTATAGTTTTCAAAAATTTGAGTGGTAAATATAAAGAGCTCCCATAGGCCCCTCTTTTCCTGTACATAGTTTCTCTCATTATTAATAGCTTGCATTAATGTGATACACTTGTTAAAACTGATGAACCAATAGTAATATATTATTAACTAAAGTTCATAATTAACATTAGAGTTCACTCTTTGTACGTTCTATGACTTTTAACAAATGTATAATAACTTATGTACTCTATTGCAATATCACATCAGTATTTTCACTATCCTAAAAGTTCCCTGTAATCCACTTAATTACCCCTTGCACTGCTTTGAGCTCAGAGCATCCACTGATTTTACATCATCTCCATTGTTGTGCCCTTTTCAGACTATCAAATAGTTAAAATCCTGTATAATATAGACTTTTCAGATTGGTGTCTTTCACTTGCTTATATACACTTAAGGTTCTTCATGTCTTCTTCTTAGCTTATTCCTATAACTGAATAACCACAGTTTGTTTGTTCATTCATTTATTGAAAAATATTTTCTTTTGCATTTATAGTCACTATAAACATTAGTGTGAAGGTTTTTGTGTGAACATAAGTTTTACAGTAGTTTGGTTCCATACCAAAAGCATGCTTTCTGTATTGTGTGGAGGATTTGTATAGTTTTTGGAAGAATCTGTGAAATTGACTTCCATTGTGGCTAACAATCTTGCATCCCCACAAGCAATGAATGAGAGTTCCTGTTGCTAAACATACTTGCCAACATGTTGTTAGTATTTTCAGGTGCTTGATAATGCCTCATACCAGCTTACTTTTTTTTTAATTCTATTTTTCTTTGTATTACTCAGACAACATAATCTCAATTGACATATCGTTAAGTTTGTTGATCCTTTCTTCTGCTTATTCAAATATGATCTTGAAGTCAGTGATCTGTGGATTTTTATTTTTAACAAAGTTTCTTAACTTTATAATTTGTATTTGGTTCATTTGTTTAAATAATTTATATGTCTTTATTTATATTACCTGTTTGGTGAAACATAGTTATCATTCCTTCTTTCAGTTCTTTGGACATGATTTCCTTTAAATCTTATTAGACTCATATTTTAAAAGTATCCAGTTAGCATTTATCTGTAATTTCACTTTTGATTTCCTCCTATGGATTGCTTTATTCCACTTCTCTATAGGCCTGATACTTTCTTGTTTCTTTATTTGTATCTTAATTATATTTTGAAAACTAGACACTTAAAATTTTACTGGAGCTGGGCATGATGATGTGCATTTGTAATGCAAGCTACTCAGGAAACTGAAGCAGGAAAATCACTTGGTCCCAGGAGTTCAAAGACAGCTAGGGCAACACAGTAATAAAATGAATAAAAAAGGAAAAAGAAAGAATATATGTATACTCCCCACACATACATACAGCAACTATAAAAACAGAAAAATAGAAATCAGCCTCATCACAGCTTGATATTATTGCTTATTATTGTAGTCATTGCTTGTTTGTTGTAATAACTTCTCTGAACTAACTCTATAGTCTGTATATTTTGTGGAGTATACACAGTGAAGTCTGTATTCAGATGACTTGGTAATCAGCTAAAATTTAAACTCTTTTCCTTCAATGTGTGGGACTAAAAAAATTCTCAGTTTTTGTCAAAGGGCATTTGTGCACTTGGTAAAAGATTTCAACACTTAGGCAATTTACATCTCTGCCTTAGCCTCCATTTGATTCTTATATGAATATTTGAGATCAGCCCAAGTTGAAAGTTGAAACACACAGGTGTTTCCTGAGCATGATCAGAGTCCTGGACCTACACACAGCCCTGTGCATGTATGCAATCTTCTCAATTCCCAGCATATAGCTAATATTTCAAAGTCCTTATGGATATCTCATTCATTAGATATTATAAAACTCTTTAATTTATGATTTGCCTTGTGATCCACTGCCTTAGAAGTGAGGTTAAAGCAGTCAATTTCAATGATTTTTCAAGAAATATTTCTAGGGAAATTTTTTTCTGTATTTTTCAGGCTTCTGTGTAAGGTTCAAGTGCAGACAGCACTAAAAATGGAATTTTCCAAAGAACCCCCTGTCAGATAAAAATAATGGCAAAAGTTTGTAATTGTATAAATATATATATTCATATTAATAAAGTTCTATAAAATGTTTTATCTCTCTTAATTCTCTTTTTTTGGTATTGAGGAAGATTTAATTTTTTTGGACAGTTATATTCATATCACTTCCTTTTTATAGGCAATATTAGTTTTCTAGAATGAGCACTATTGAAGTTAATTAATAATCAATTTTTTCCTCAACTTTGCCCATTTCAAAATAGAAATTTATTTTTTATAGATCTATTTATTGTTATTCTCTTCCAGAGAAAATTTACCTTTGCTTTTGGCAGAAAATTAGAGTAGAAAGACTACTTTAATTCTGATAGAGATGGATGGAGTTATCTCGTATTTCTGGTAGGAGTGTAAAATAATACAACTACACTAGAACACTATTTCATGGTTCCTTTATTAATGAATTTTAGTTGTAGATGGGCAAAATACCTTTATTTTATTTACTTATGTGGTGCTGAGGCTCAAATCCAGTGCCTCATACTTACAAGGCAAGTGCTCTGCCACTGAGCCACAATCCCAGCCCTGTTTCATGGTTTCTTAAAGAGTTTCACTTACTCTCACCTTATGCCCCATTCATTCTGCTCTTAAATATCTTCTCAAGGAAATAAAAACATTTGCTGAAGTGAGGACTTGTACCTGAATATATTAACAACTTCATTCAAAATAATGAATAACCTGAAACACTAAAATAACTGTCAACAGATGTAATGCATAAACTATAGTGCTCAACAGAACAATATTATCCATGCAGTAGAATTTTACTAGTAATGGAAACAAGTAAAGTACTTGATATTAAACCATTCTGGATAAGTCTCAAAATTATGTTCACTGAAAAATGCCAGACTTGAAATAATACACATTGCATGGATTTATCTACAGAAAAATTCAAGAAAATAAAAATTAATCTATAAAAACTTAAAGTAGATTAGCATTTGACTGACTCCCCAGTAAAGAGACAAAAAGAGTTTTGGAGAAATTTATTGAAATTTTCTCTTTGGGGATATTGGTTGCATGGGTATATGTAACTGGAAAACACTGAGTCATGAGTTATTTAAGTTATTTAAACACTGAGTTATTTAAGTTATGTTTTATTCTCCGCACATTATACCTCACTGAAGCTGATAGGGTTTCAATCTTTTGGGGGCTGGTCTTTAACCAGTCTAATCTTACTCCTGTATTGCTGCCCTTCAGTCCTGGGTGTTTAATAGAGCCATGAATTCCATGATTTCCCCAGTGCTGTGAGACTATGAAGACCCTGCTTCTCAGCATCTTTGCTACCTCTTTGCCTCATGACTGACATAAAATAAATATGACAAATAAGCAGTTATACATACTGTAAAGAAGTCAAAAGGAGAGAGAAGCAAGGTGCAAAAGCAGAATAGTAGAATGGCCAAGTTGCCAGCTTTATTTCTATCAATATTTTACATTAGGTCAGTGACATCAGTAGTACATTATTGTTCATTGTATCATTAGGCAGATTATAGAGTTAGCAATATTATGCAGCTTATTTCTCAGTTACATACTATAGTTAGAAGGTGCAATGTTAGGAGCTTTGTGTAGCTCTCAATAAAGTCCATTGTTTAAAGTTACTGTTATGTGGACAGGTTCAGGTACAATGGAGCTTGGTGAAACATTGTGGTTGTCTAATGAGAGTGTTTCTTTATTCCCAGGAGCTATGTGGGTGAGATCAATGTCAAGACTGATAAGACTCTAGCACAGAGCCTCCTCATGCAGGGCATTTGCTACAGCAGCTAGGCGGCCCATGTCTTTGCACAGAAGTTTTCCAAGCAGCCAGTGGCTTTGCACAGAAACTTCCTAGCTACCAAACAGGCCACATACATGAAGCCCTCAGAGATGCTAATCCCAAACACAGAACCCTTATAACTTAGGAGGCCCAGTTTTCTGTGCATCACTTTTATCTGGAATTTTAATTCCTTGATCCTGGATTCCTTGTCATCTATGGATTTCAGTTTTTGTCTCTTGGACTGTTTGTAGTTGCCCAAATTCCTGTTTTAAGAGACATCTAGAATTCTTCATATCTTTGGCAAGAGTTACCTCCTATTACTTATTAGGGTCATACTTTTTTTTTTCTTTTTAGTCAGATCCAATCTTACTTCTGTATCTTATGGTTATATCAAAAAGTTTTCTCTGTGTTGGCCTTTACTAACTGCAGAAGCACATCAAAATAACTGAGAATAACTTTTCCAACCTTATTTTGGACATGATTTCTCAAAATTCTAATTCAGGAACTTTGCAGTGGGTTAAAGTTTGTGATTTTTAAAAAGCTCTGTTAGATTGGCAAATTTGCCTATCCCTGAAAAACATTTTAATATTCATTTCAGCAATGTCTTTTATTAGGTAAGAAGCAACTTACACAAAATTGAATGTTAATATTTTTATAATTCTCATCTAAAAGTATGCAAGTCTATATTATTAATTATAACATGCATCAAATAATTATTCTTTAGAAGAAATTATACTCAGTAAGAAAGGCACAATATTCTCTTTAATATTTAAAGAGAAATAACTAAGTTGTCACATAACTGCTATAGTATTTATACTGTTAAAATGAAATAATTAGTCTAATGAATACTGATCTTGAAATTGCAAATGTAACATTTGACTACAAAAATTATATCTTAAAGTAATAAATGCTATTGATATTTAAGATAGCTGGAAAGGTATACTGACACTATTATAAACAGCTTTCTCTCAAAATCTTATGATATTTTCATAGTAATCTCTTCATACTTACAACACAAAAGTGAGAATTTTTTTCCCACTTCCTTCAGTTCATCCATTTTCTCTCTTCAAATTTCAAGACTCAGTCTCCTCCAGTAAACTATTTTCCAAACTGTGCTGTTATTTCCTCTGATAAAAAAGCAATAAACTCAGGGGAAAAGTGTTTGGTATGTGTTGTATTAAACATATTTTAATAGTTTACTCCAAAATTCTAAAACCAACATTATATTAACTATTCTTCTACAATTCCAAGAATAATATATGGATTTTCCCAAAATTTACTTAAATATGCTTTACTTTTTGTTTAGGTAGGACTCATAATATATACCAAAACATTTTCTGGAGATAGTGTGAAAATACTTCCTTAAAGATATCACTTCTTTGGGGGCTGGGGTTTTGGCTAGTATTTTCTTAGCATGTGTGAGGCACTGGGTTTGATTCTCAGCACCATGTATAAATAAATGAATAAAATAAAGTCCATCAACATCTAAAAAGTATTTAAAAAGATCTCCCTTCTTTTGTTAAACTCATTATTAGGTACATAACACAGTTTTGCAAGAGCCTATGATACAGGTTTTGACACCAGGTAATGAGGACAGTAGGAAATACCTGTATTCAACCATTTATTTTTTAAAAAATATTAGGAGTGTAATACTAATCACACAGGTTATCAGATGATAAAAAAATAACTCCTGGTTATTTTGGAGAAAGAAGTCATCATCTATAAGAATGTGCAGTTTCAAGCATCATCCATATTAAAAAGTAGGAGTACTTGGTAAAACCAGAAGACTGAGTTGTCATCAGAAGTGGTTGTACCAGGGAATAAACTTGTTTCCAAAGGAGCAATGTTTCCTTGACTCTAAGAGGAGAAAAACTGTAATATCCATTCTTTTAAGGCTACAAAGGGAAGCTTATTATACTATATAAAGCAGAAATTGAAGAATGAAAATATTCTAATTAATTATTAATTAGAATCAATATATCTCTGTCAAAGTATTGTATTCTGTGAATCAATAAATTTTGTTATTGCCACTTGGAAGTTGATACTGAATACAAACCAAGGATATGAAGAATTCACACAAATGTACTTAGTTTTAAGAAAAGAAATTAAATGTATGCCTTAAATACAAGTCAAAAGACTGAGGGTGTTGTAAGCTTGGAGAGTATAAAAGTGTGAGATTATTATTTACAATGATAAAAGTTGATAAAATCAAGGCATGACCCTTGCATATCATCAATAACCTTTCTCCTTCACCTCTATGTCATATTTGATAGTCTGATACCCAATTATATATATATATATATATATATATATATATATATATATTATAAAATGCAAGTTTCTCTATTTTTTCTTTGCTAACCACATAATATTCTGATTCTTAAATGACTAAACTATTTAAACCTTTTGTTTACGTATTAAATATACCTAATATTCTTGTCATTCTGGATACATTTAGCTCCCCCCAAAATATAAGTAATTATTAATATTATGGAAATATTACACAGAAGTTTCCCCAGGATTTTATTCATCACATTTTCCCTCTGGAAACATAAAAATAGCTATTTCATTCAAATATCTCAGAAGAAGACATTTTATTGAGAGGAAAGAGGTATATACAATTTTTTAATCCCCTTTTTCTTAGATTAGCAGATGCATGGTCAAGAGTTTCAATTACAAAATATGAGATATTAACCCATTTGATCTTGCTGTTATTTCATAAAGAGTTTATTTGCATTTGATACATTGATCCTCAAATGTTATCTACAATAGCAAGGAGGAAAAATGCAGTATAAACTACTTATTTTTCCGAAAATAGCACAAAAAAGATAAGATTTTTATTTTCATTTTGGTCTAAAAGAATGAGTCCTTCAATAAGCTTTTATTTATTGCCTACTTCTTAGGTTCTACAATAGAATCTTTAGAAGGTTAGAAAGCAACTTCATAACAGTCTTCACTCCCATTCAAATTGTAGACAAACTGAGGATTAGAACTCACACTTCAAATGATAGCAAACCGACTATAGCCATATGGTACAAGGACACATGCAGATAAGACAGGAACTAAAGGATGTTTACAATTTTGGAGGATGTTAAATCAATAGGCAATTTAAAACTGGAGATATTCTGAGCCAAGTGTGGAGAGTGTGGATTATAAAAATTGTTATGTTTGTTCAGTTCTTAGATGACAGGAGCCAAGAAGCCTCCTCATTGCTCCTTTCATGTCCTTGTTCCTCAAAGTATAAATAAAAGGGTTAAGCATAGGAGTCACTAAACTGTAGAACAAAGACATGAGTTTGTTCTTGTCCTGTGAGTTAGCAGCAGAGGGTTGTACATACATGATAATTACTGGTCCATAGAAAAGAGATACAACAATAACATGAGAACCACAAGTATTGAAAGCTTTCTTCTTTCCCTCCAAAGATCGAATCCTAAGCACAGTAGCTACAATAAACCCATAGGAGATAAGGATAAGTGACAAAGGAACCAGGGAATAGAAAGTCCCCACAATGGAGAGCATAGCTATATTGAATGTAGTGTCAACACATGACATCTTGATCATCACTGGAACCTCACAAAGAAAATTATCTACCTTGTTGTTACCACAAAGTGGCAGCTGGACAGTGAGAGTTGACTGAAGCAAGGAGTTAGCCAATCCACTTATCCAGGCCACAGCCACGAGGAGGATGCAGAGTCGCTGATGCATAATAGCTGGGTACCTCAAAGGCTTGCAGATGGCAATGTAGCGATCCAAGGACATCACAGCTAACAGGATGCACTCAGTGGCTCCCAGGAAGTGAAACATATAAAACTGGGTCACACATCCCCCATAGCTGATAGACTTATCTGGGCCCCAAAGGTTAAGCAGCAGCTGAGGTATGGTAGTTGTGGTAAAGCACAGGTCCAAGAAGGAGAGGTTGGAAAGGAAGAAGTACATAGGGCTGTCAAGATGCGGATCTACTCTGGATACCACAATAATTGAGATGTTGCCCACCAGTGTGCAGATATAAGCAACAAGCACCATAATGAACAGGGGCATTTCCAACCATGGGTGGTTGGAGAAACCTAAGAGAATAAAGACCTCTGGAGCACTTGCATTGTCCAGATTCATGTTTGCTATTGCTTTTTTTGGTAGATTCAAGTTAAAGAAAATACTCCACTGAAGTGAGTTGATATTTGCAAGCATAAAAATTAATAAAGTATTACTTTTCTGGTCTTCTAAAAGAAAAACAAACAAATACCTTTATTTAAACCAAGAAATACAGAATAGCAAAATTTTTATAAAATAATGAGATAAAGGAAAACTTACAATTCACCTTATGTTAGAGAGGGAGAGAGACAGAGAGAGAGAGAAAGAGAGAGGATAAAAAATGGATGAATGAATGAAACTAATCTACCAAAGAACCAGTCATGATAACTTACCACTGGTGTTCATTTCTTTCATCCATGATCTTCTGGCCCTTGCAGTGTTCTGGTTAGATTTATGAGTTGATTTAGGAGTTCCAGATGTCTGGTTTGCATAGAAACAGCACATATTGTTTTCCATAAGTCTGTTCTCCAAACTCTAGATTGACTTTTTTATAAAAGGAACCATGCAATTAAAAGGAAATGAACCCTTGAAACATACTCAGAACTTGCAAAGCAAGACAAACAATAATTGATTGCAAAGATAAATGATTAGAGACACGAAGCACTTATCAACATAGTCTGATTATACAAGTGATTTTCACAATGTGAGTTGTCATCTATCCCACATATGTTATTCTATCAAGTTATTTTTTTCCATTACAAGTGGGAATATCTAAGTTTGTGTAATATGAGTTATAATGCAAAATGTACTTCTTACTATAGGCAATGGCAAAAGGTTTGAAAAACATTGATTTAGTAGAAAAGAAAAGAGCATTCGAAATTTTAAATCCTGAATCTAATCCACTGCTAACAGTTAACACACATATATTTTAGGTATTGTTTCTCAGAACCTCCCTTACTGTGAGGTCCAAAATGTCTTACCATACTTTCTTAAGTGCAATATTTCATGTTGAGCTGGATATTTTCATGAAATACAGTGTTTTATTTGGTTAGGAGTTTGCTAAATAATTTTTCTTCAGGTTTTACCTAAATATCAACAATGTACAATTTTCTTCCCTTCCATTTCCTTCATTACTCAGATCACCTAATTTGAATCTGATGTTAATGCATTCAAGATTTTTAAACCAACCCACACATATTTTAATTAGTGTAAATGCCCACTATTGCAAATAATTTACTATGCTATTTTTAAAAACATGCCTCAGTTTCAAATTATAATGTTGGTTATTAATATTAAAATGTGTCAATTTATTTCCATGCTTTCTCACATGAAACTTTTCATTAAAAAGGCCAAAATATGCATGGAGTTGTTCAAAGATTAAATCAAAACAGCTGAATAGATTATTCTCTCTCAGATAAAACATTTACCTTCAATCAAATGATCTTCTGTACTGGTTTCCTTCTTCTAAGAAAAAAATTGCTATTTTCATCAGAATTTAATATTAATTGGGGATAGGATTAAATATCTTCTCTCTATTCAGTATCTTTATTTCATATCATAAGTCAATATTTATTTGAAGGATCCCAAATCTTTTTAGATGCAGAAACCTATTTACCCTAATATAATTGTATGAGGGCTTGGGGAATATAGCTCAGCTATTGAGTGCCTAGCATGTATGTGGCCTGGATTCAATCTCCAGTACTCCCTAAAATATAACAAAAATAAATTAAAACATAAAATAATAGTTAAGTATGAGCCTCACTCTCCTTATAAAGCTGTGAGACTTTGTGCTACAAACAGATAATGAACCTCAGTGGAAATTTCTTGCCAAGAGACACTATAGCAATTCCCTGTGGGTATTCTTCTCTCTCACATTCTTATCCCAATAAAATGAAATCATAAAACTGACACCTGTTGTGTAACATGGACTTGAGACTGAAAGACACCTAGAAAACTCAATTTAGCTCCAAAATTTCATAGAAATTTTCATAGATTACCAGAGAAAGACAAAAAAATTATTTTTGATGTCAAGATCTGATTTTTTATTTATATTTATATCAAATGTTATTTTGAGATTCTGCTATGCTAAGATATAGCAATCCTAGTTCTACATAGAGATGGAAGAGACAGTCACCTCCTAATATGTTTTAGAAAACAAAAGGCTCTTGTCTTTGGTTTTATTTTTTCCACAGTAGCCTCACTTAGTATTGACTATTTACCTAACCTAATATTGATGATATTAAAGTTTCTCATTGACTTGAACAATAAACACCTTGTGTCATTCATATACATTAATATTTCTTTTACTCATGTTTCATTTAGTAATGTTTCATTGACTCATCAGTAAATATTATAGAATCCCTACTATGTGTCAATCACTCATCTAGATGTTTCAAATAAACATTGAGAATCAACATCCAAAAACTTCCTGTAATGAAATTACACTCTAATATGGGAAGAATAGATTTGTGTTTATTGTTGTGCCTTGATGAATTTAGCTCCAAAATAGATTAAATTACTAAACAAATCACAATGGTACAAGCTGATAATATGGCATAAATAAGTTTTGCACCAATAGATTTTTTGACAAAAGACTAAAAATTAAAATATGAATCTAAAGGATTTTTAAACCTGAATTTCTTATTTAAGCAATTTTTTTCCACTCAGGCCTCACCAGTAGTTAACAGTCCGGAATCCTTCTATAAAAGTTCACATCAGTCTTCTGAGATTATTCTCTTTGTTCATATTTATTCTCTTGTCATTCTCTGCATTCTAGAATTTTATCACCTTCTAATTCTTTTTAAAAATTATTTAGTAGAGCTCTCTTTATTCCTTGTTGCCATATCTTGATCTTATTTCCTCCTCTAATTCTTCCACCATGATATTCTGCCTCACCCCAGGTCCAGAACAATGAAGATAACCATTTATGGACAAAGATCTCTGAAGCTGGAAAGTAAAGTAATTCTTTATATTTTGTCTTTAAACCAGAAGGTGTGAGCGATAATCACTAAGCTGATGCAATTGCTACTATTCTATTAATAAAGAAAAAACATTATGACAAACTGAAGAGAAAATAAAACACTGTCCTATGGCTGTGAGTTTTACTGAACCCTTTGGTGACATATAAATGCAGTGAAATAATAGACGAGCAAATATGGGTCACTAGCAGTTGGATAAGAGGCAAAGGTTTTCAAAGTGGAATAATCACAAAATGTTGCCAAATAACAGACAATTCAGCTGGAAACACAACAGCACCAACTGGAACTGGGTTAGAAAATAAGTGACATAAGCCAATCCCCAAAAGCTGAAGGGTGAATGTTCTCGCTTAAATGTGGATGCTAACACAAAACAAGGAGGGAGAGGAAGAATAGAAGTTCAGTAGATTAGAAGGGAGAATAAAGGGAAAGGAGAAGAGGCAGGAATAGGAAAGATAGTGGAATAAATCTGATTTAGCTTTCCCATGTACACATATGATTTCACCACTGTGAATTGCCACTTCATGTACAACAACAAGTCTGGGGTCCTAATTAGAATAAGATGTACACCATGTTTGTATAAATATGTCAAAGTACACTCTAGTGTCTTGTATAACTAAAAAGGAAAAAATGAACAAAAAATATAATTAAAAGTCTTAGGGAAAGAAAGCTGTCTTTATCTATTTCATAAATGGGAAATTGAATCTTCAGGCTTAACTGGCTCATATTTTCCTTTTTGTTGTTGTTGTTGTTGTTGTTGCTGTTGTTTTTGAACAATGCCTCCAGTTCAAACTCAACATCATTTGAGAATCATCTCAACATCTCAACATCATTTGATATTCATCAGTAAATACTGGAATAAATTCTCCAGTCCACACAGTTGGGTGCACTGCAGGTATGTCTGGGAAATAAGTCTAATAAGTTTCCCCATGAAATAAAGCCAGCATAGCCACAAATATGATGGCTGGAGACAGTGCCTCCCGATTGTTTGACCATCTGCTCAACCTGATGTGTCAAGTTCTTCAGTTGTCCCCACATTGGCAGTTTTGCATTCTGGGTCTAAAGAGGCTTCTTCACCTTCCACTTCATTGTTTCAGCTTCTTGTTCCTAGTGGAGATCAGGATCAATGCCTCTGGTTCAAGCTTCAGATCCTCCTTGATGGTGATGAACACGCAGCACGCTGAGATACCAGATAGAATAAACTGCACCTTTGAGTGACACAGACATGGCTTCTATGCCACATTATCCTGAATCTTGTCCATTCCATGATCCTGTTTGTAAGTCTCTCCAACAAAATAGGCCTGACAGGCCCATTGGAGTGGTAGTCGGCTCAATAGCAGTGTGAACTTCAGCATCACAATTTAAGAAATCTAAAACAAAGAGAACATGATTCAAACAATTCTGTTGGGTTCTATCTCCCCTTTTGTTTTTTGTAACGGTAATTTAAGGGACAAGTGAGATTGCTCTACAGTAACATGACCTTGAGGATTATAATGAATACCTGTTCAGCGATCAATAAAACTATTGAAAAGAACTAGATAAGTAGGAGCATTATCAGTTTTAATTTATAGAGGATGGCCTGGCACTCCAAAAGCAGCTAAATGGTAAAAAAGTGATCGATGAGTAGTTTTCTTCTGTATGAGAAGTGGCAAAAATGAAATGAGAACAAGTGTCAATAATAACATGAACATAACACTGACTGCCAATTGAGAGTGGTGGTTTGGCTGAAAACCACAGGGATTAACCCTAATAGGTAAGACTAGAGTATATATTACACTGATGAACAGTTGATGAAAAATTTGTTGTGTAAGCTGGAAGCATTCTGATAATGAACAATTTGAGAGGCTTGAGTACAGTCATAAGGAGACAATTGCTGACAAGCTGTAACAAGACAATCATCTATAGCATTACCTGTTGGTAAAAATATTTCAGAGAAAGCTCTGATGTGTCCAATAAAACAAGGATAATTATGCACTCAAATTGTGTTTTGTAAAGTATGAAATAAATGAAATAACTCTTCTAAATGCATATGACCAATGGTAGCTGTTTCAATATGCATAGCAACTCCATCTGTGTAGGCACTGTCACCAGAGATATTAATTGGCT